AGCAACGGAAATCAGAACTGCCATTCTCGTTGGCTTGTCGATCGTCGATTTATTGTCGGGCTCATGAAAACAAGGTGCCGAACGACAAACACGATAGGAGCTTATATTTAGTACTGTCCTCGCCAGGATGCGTTCGTCAAAGGGTATACCAACCGCGCTGCCCCCCATCGGTAAGTCTGGAGACACATGACGGTTTCGAGTCGAATGCATGTCGACAACTGTCTTTTTCGAATCGCGCAGGCGGCCACTGGGTGATTGGCAACATGGGCACCGCCGACGCTGCATTCTACCCGATGATCAAGGTGAGTTACAACCCATGTGCACCTGACGAGGGGGGGGGGCGATTGAGAAGTCGGTGGTTGTGAGACGCTCCATGAAATTCTGAAGAAACGACCGCCTGCTGTCGGACACCAACCGCCATGAATGTTTGAAGAAGTTAAAAAAATGGACCAGCTTGGTGGCTGTTCTATCAATCTTGCCAAGGGATTTTGAGCCGTCTTGTATACATATCTATCGATTGACCGCCTTGGTCAGACCCCGTGATATCGGGGATCCAGATGTTTGCAAGTATTCCGCATAGTAGCGGCTATGGATGAAGAAAGGATTGGGACCAGCCACCAAACCTCTCTTTTTTCCGGGTTTTCTCTTAAACCGTACCCACTTTGTAACTTTTGTGGAACAACCAAAATCACTCTCGCAAATCCGATTTTTTCTTGAATATTCTCTCTTTCACAGGTAGCTGCTACTGTGGCCGGGAATCCAGGGACCCAGAAGGCAGACACCCCCTGGAGCACTCCAAGCTGTGTTTTCGTCATTCTGTGTTGCTTTTCATATCGAAGGTTCGTCTTGCGTTTGTTGTTGTTCGGCGATCCAGGTGTCCGACTGCGCCCGCCATCCTTCCTTCATCGACGAGGATTTCCTGTGGTTCCGCCAGGATTGCTCCGATTGCGAGGAGAGAAGCACGATTGGAAAGGTGGGGGCAAAGGTAGAGACGACAGAAAAGGAGAGATAGAAAAAAAATAGAAGGGAGAGAGAGAGAGAGAGAGACTTGCGGGCGCCAACACATTCAAAATCCTGCATAAATACCCACAAAACTATCAAGGTGTGTGATGGCTAGAGCACGTAGAGCATGCCTGTGTACTCCGTCCCACCCAAACGCTCAATATCCCGACCCTTGCCGGAACCCTTGCATCCTCCGGTGTTGGGAATACATCCTCGTGTGCCTCGCATGGCAGTCGGTGGAAACTGCCATATTTCCCTTTATGGATGCGTCCGCTCGCGACCGCGATGTCATATCGCCGTACCCGCATCTCCCAACTCCAGTCCGCCTTCTACTCCTCTAGGTTCTGCCTGCGCTCAACACACAACTTATTCGCGTCCCGCTATTTTCCCTTATCCCGATATCCGCCTTTTTTGCTCTACCAAGATCAATGCGCCTGTCCTTGTGAACATTTGTTTTCCTGTCGTTCTGCCTCGTTGCCTCTCTAGGCCTTTTCTCTCGATCTCTCGGTCTCTTTGTCTCTCTCCTTCCCCCCTTCCGCCCCTCTGTCTATCGCTGTCTGCCCGTCTGTCTCTCGTACCTCTCCCGGTATCCCTCCGTCTACTTCCCTGTTAAGCGTACCCTACCCTCCCCCGTCCCCCCCAGTGTTTGCCATCGGAGTTGGGTTTTTTGTCGCTTGGCAGCGATGTTGTAAGGCAAACCGGTCACATCGTGAGCTTGGCCACCAGGTTACCTTTTTTTTTGCCTTTGATTGTTATATTTGCGATAACCATGAATGGTGGTCCAGTAGATTATGTTGTGCGGGGTCGAAAACCCTCACTCCGCGCAAAGGGGATAGTCGCACTTTGTGTTTAAATGGTCAAGCACCCTCGAGGCAGTTACACAGAGCTTACAACTGTCTCTGGAAGTGAAAGCACCAGGAAATAGATTAAGTCATACGCAGCTGTCATCCGTATGCAAGGAAGAAAGCACAAGATGCCGAACACCCTTAGCAGGATGCAGCGCACCCTTCATGCGACTCGCCGAATACCTCACGGCGCTTGGCGCTTGGTGATGTGAGAGCCTGGTCCGGTGAGAACCCGGCGTGCTCCGTCCCGGCTTTGTAGGGATGTGCGATCAATGGTCTAACGACTACGGCATGACGACTATGAGTACACCCCTCTCCCCCCTATCTCCAATCCCCGCCTCCCTAACTCTTTCGGGCCATTGTTGGGTGACGGTCACCACCGAACCGTGCCCTTGCAGCAGCAACACCTTGAAGCGCACCTCGCAGGCGCAAGCAATGACGACCTCCGTGACCACCGACCTGAACCTTCCAAGCGTCGCCCGCACCAAAAACAACCGCTCGCCAGCTCGAGACAACGAGGTGACGGTGCCTACTCCTGCCCCGACTTTAGCAGCACCGGTCAACGAATCCTCCTCGTCGCCGGGGGTGGTACGCGGTGATGACATCACCACGAGTGATGCCCGCAGCGTGATGGAAGGAGATGACATCGCCGTCGGCGTTTCCCTGGGGGTGGGCGCGGGAGTGCTACTGATCGCCGGCATGGTGGCCTTCCAGATGAGGACGTTCCTTTGCGCCCGTGCTCGATGAGCGCCGTTGTCATGCCCCAATGGAGAGGGCATCGGCTTTTGGAATCGCGAGTTGTTGAGTGCAGTCAGAGACCGTGGTATCATGTTTGATCGGCGAAGGATTTCGATCGATCAGGGAGATTGACTCAATGCCGATTTTTTTCTGCATAGCCCACTGGATTGATAACGGTAACCCCAATAGCTAACATCGTTGCTTGCTGGATGTAGATGGGAGGGGTTCGACGGAGTTCAATGTTTCTGAAGATGGTTTGTTTTCGGGGGGGATAAGTCCATGGCTAATGACACATGAGCTGATATTGTTCCACTCTCCCCGTCAGTGAGAACACGGCGTATTGAGAACAAAGTTATTTACGAGAGTAGAAAGGTAGCGGCATGTTTGGCCAGCGAGGTTCAAAGCATTGCACCATGCTGGCACCATGTCGATCGAATCGGATGGCCAGCATGTGCAGCCACTGACCCCATGCCATTTGATCACCTGCAGACTTGGCCCTAACCAGCTACTCGCCATACGGGAAGACGAAAGTTGACGTTATCATTGTTATGGTTGCTGTTGCTGTTGCTGTTGTTGGTGTTGATGTTGCTGTTGTTGTTGTTGTTGTTGTTGTTGTTGTTGTTGTTGTTGTTGTTGTTGTTGTTGTTGTTGTTGTTGTTGTTGTTGTTGTTGTTGTTGTTATTGTTGTTGCTGTTGTTGTTGCCTTTGTTGCCGTCCGACGTCTGTTCGCAACGTTCTTGTTGCTACAGCTTTTGGTTAAGGCTACGCATTGTACAGCTTCATTCCCAGTTGGTATTCTCTGACAAAGCGGGGCATTCTCTGCGTCTTGTGAGCCGCTAGCTACGCGTCTGTTTAAGAACGTACATAAACTTTTTTGTCGCCCGCGGCTCGTTTCTTTTTACTCTGTGCGGTAGCCATTGACGTTTCATGATTTATTGAGGGGTTCTTCGTTGAAGACCTGTTCTTTTGATCAGCATGTAACCGCATGTATGTCAAAAGATTAGTTCTGGATTCTTCACTGGCACGTCCTTACGTGATGGCCCATTGTGCATCAAATATTGTTTCGTTCAACGATGTAAAATCGCTGAAGCCGTGTGCCTTATAATCGCTGAAGCCGTGTGCACCGTGAACAACAGTAGGTAGTGTAAATTGTGCAGCAGTAGGATATGATGATTGCAACGGGACGGTGTTGTGCGGAGTGTCGTTTCTATGGTTTATATCCAATGAACGCGGTGCCGGGAGTTGTGACCGCATGACACTATCGAGCTATCTGGGACTAGAGACCTATCTGCGGCTAGATTAGCGCTCGGCCGCTATTGCTGAAGCAAAGTTCTCGATTTTCGTTCTACAGTTCTGCTGTAAGTTGATACCGAATCTGAATCTCGTCTGTGTCCGCTACGCCACCTTGAGACCTCAGTTCACTGAAATTCCGCGTTTGCAACGCCCGGTGGAAGCGAGACACCACGAAAAATAAAAAAACGTAGAGGACCAGCACGGTTGCCCGATGCAAGCTGCGATACCATTTCCAGGAAAGGATGATGGTGAAAAGGTGAATTCGGGCTATGGTGGTCTAATGATATGTTCCCTTGTGCATCCTCATCTCGTCATGTCGTAACAGGTCGGTCTGTCTACTTGAAGCAATACGCCCCGGAGAGTTGGTAGTTCTTGAGAGCGACAGCAGTCAGGGTCGTCGTAGCTTCTACTTGGGTGGGTGTGTCTGCATATCACTCATCAAACTGTACTGCCTGGCATTCGACATTCTTCGTCCGGTGGACCCACACCTTTAAAGTGCACTCGAAACACGCGGAGTGTGGTGTCGAAGGAAACGCTGATCGAAAGATGCCAAAAAACTGCAAATTCACTGTCGTCTCCTCTGTAGTCTAGATGTACAAAAGGGATTTGCAAAATAACCTTTTCGTATGCTTCACCAGGGAAGTATTGCGCTTCTCCCACAAATTCGAGAACGACCATGATCTGCGATGGTTGCGCCCTCAAGCTCCTACTGTGTAGAGCTATCGCTCCAATGTCCATCAGGTCCCTCTGTCCATCCCAATGCACAGCTCAACAGTTTGCGCCAGTTTAGTTACTCATGGCGAATCGGTCAGAATAGCAATCTCTCCCGTGTCCTGGGATCCTCTTCGCCTCGCGTTAGGAAGTTAGACGAGCATGAGACACTGGGACCTTTCAAGGGGGTGTGCGGAAAAAAAGAGCGCAGCTCTCCGAGCCAGCAAACCGCTGACAAACTGACATGCCAAGATCCAAAGCGCGGGCGGGCGTTGCCTGGAAACGGAACTGTCAACATTTTTCTATCACGCCGCACTGTGCGGGTTCCCCCGAGCGGACACAAAAATGATGTGTGATGTGTCATGGATGGGATAGAGACATCATCCGCACGCGCGCCCGTACACAAAACATTCTACCCTCGCTCACAACCACAAGCCAGACTTTGTTCCAAGCACCAAAGATCCGAAGGTATGCCATTGCCCCAGAAGGATAGCCGTAGCCGATCGGGTGTGTGTAGAGTTGACATGTGACGCGTGTGTCTGGTGGGAAAGCTTTCGCCTTCCGTCAACACGCGTGTTTTGCTCTCGTCGATTCAACGTGATGGTATCAAATAGGATTTTGATGCCATCTCCCATGAAAGAAGGGAGCAACGATACCGTATGCAGATCAAGCTTCCTTTGAGTGTCGCCACCACCTCCTGGTCAGGCTGCTGATTGATCGGCGGCGTGGTCGAATTCTGTTGAACCTCCTCTCGTCGGGTTGATATTTTCTGTGCTTCGTTTGTTGGGTTCTCCTGGAACAACCCCGTCAAGCTGTGGGGTCGAGATGGCCTTCCCAAGTTGATCTTCCCGATCGTTCATTCCAATTCGGCTGGGTCTTGTCAAACTGCTAGAATTCCATGTAGATATGTCTCGCGTCGAGCAGTAGAAGAAGCGACCGTATGCGTACATGTTGGGAAGTCGCCTGGGAAAAAAATTGGGAGGTGTTGGTATTTGAGCGAGCGCGCCAACCACGACGAACGGGCGGAGTGATTGGCTTGATTTGTAGATGCTCCACATTGCCAACAAGACTCCGCCGCGCTTGTCAATGACTCGGCCATCCAACAATGCTTCCAGCCAGTCTTGATTCACGAAGAGGTCGGCCACACGGGAACATGGTAGGAGCCTGCTCAGCTACACCCGATCAATGTGCTGTAATGTCTGATCTTGCCCCTGATTGGGTGGGTTCAGTTTTCGGCATGACATGGTACCCGGCTCAACCGCTCTCGTTCGCGTGATGGCCAAGCGCGTATCCCAATCTACAAACCCGCGTTGACTTCATTTTGGAAACCTGGTGTGCTCAGGACGGCGTTCCTGCTGTGTAGTCTAAACTACAATAGGTCGCACGCAGCCCCGTGCGGTGAGCACATGCTTACAACCGTCGGCGAGTCTCGCGGAAAAACACCGGGGGAAGAAATAGCTTCGGCTACAATGAAGCGATGCACTCTCAATAGTTTCGTTTTTCTCAATTATCTGCCCTGTTCTGCCTTGCTTCCTCGCTTGCTGAAGCTGTCGTAGGGTGGCGATTGTGGTCAAAGTAACGAATTTATGATGACGGTGGACTCCCGGCTGCCCCAGTCTGGCGTGCAATCGAAGCCTTTCTACAGTACATCGTGTGCGAGAAAGATGCCACTGCGTCATTAGCCCTGTCGTTTCGATCGAATAGCGATGGAAATGAGTCTCCGCAAAAACCAAGGAAACCTTGTTTGGCGAATGACTGGGAAGGAGGAGGACACCAATCTTCAATCCGACCCGATTTCATCTACTGTAGCAGTAGTCTACGCAGCAATATTGATTAAGCAAAAATATGGGATAAGGTATTCAATCCGTGCTTTAGGGTTAGGGCTAGGGTTAGGGATATATAGTAGGGGCATGTCACGGGGAACGTCCCTGATGGATGCGAACGGTTCAATTCTGAAACACACGGGAACGCGCTCATCAGCTGGAGGCGGGATACTTTATGTTTGCGTCCTTGCTGACGCAGCAACCCGGCATGTTTCGATTCCGAAGGGGACGACGCGGTCAAAATGGTCAAACACAAAATAGTATTTGAGAAAAACCTTTGGTGGTAAGTTAGCCTGTCGCCACGTGAATCGCTTGGTCAAATGTTTGATCAGTACGGATATATAGATGAAGGTTCTGGGTTGGAGAGATAGGAACGGCCTTAACTGTGAAGACAGAAACAGCATGTATTATAGTTCCTTCTGGCGGGGAATCACCCAGAAGTGGTCTTTACGGAGTATTCGTTTTGCACCACCATGCTGTCTTTCGTTGATTCGGAGGGGTGTGCGCAACAGCAGCCGTGTCTAGGCTATCGGGTGAGCTTTCATTGTCGTGCGCAATGGACTTGATTGAAACATTTCTGGGGCCCGGTAGCGAGGAACTCGACATCTCAAACAAATGCACCGTCAACCGGGTGGAAAGGTACGGTTCAACACGAAAAGCACCCTGATAGACACGGTAGATCAACATCATAAAATCAATAGTTGTGGCAATATAACGAGGTTGAATACTACATCTCCCAAACACGATGATGCAGTCTGAGCAGGAACCCCGAAATGAGAGATAAAATCGAGCATGATGTTTTTGCCCCGTGCTGGCTTGTTGAGTCCTGACAGATTTTCGACATTCCGAAGATGAAGGCTTCTGGAACCTGCGCGGGTATGGCCTTGTTGGTCATGAGACTAGCTGTTTCGGCAGCCGACACCACAGGTATGTACGTGGGCCCATGCTCACACCAGTGTTTGTTTGCTAGCATCGCATCGACGATTAATACCAAAATCAGGCCAAAGGTCCCGCCCACAGTACCAAACTATAGTTGAATTCAGATCCCAAAGTCATCTCGGTGCTGCCGCTGAAGCGTCACTTGTCCAGACGAGCCGTTGCGTCATCTGGCTGTGTGTCGCAGCGGTAGGTGCTGTTCGCGAATCTTGACCCCCCGCACGTTGTTGACCAAGTTGGTGCCAAACCAATCGTCACCAGCAGCAGCAGCAGCAGTCGCAGCAGCAAATTCAGCCGCACCCCCAACACCACCAACAACAACTCACGCGTCCCCTGCTTCGTCCCCGATCGCCCAAGACAAGCCACCCACTGAAACCGCCTTTGTTTTCTTCTTACGGGATAACGTAACATCTCCTGACAACGATGGTGGTTGATAATATCTCTTCCGATTTACAGAGACGTGTCAAAAGCTGGTGGTCGACGTGGAGAGCATATCCTCGGGCACCCACTCCGGAGATTTCTATGAGGTGACTATCGATTTTCTTTTGTCTTCCCTTGAAAGAAAAATGTCACTGAAAAGTGTAGTACTCTTTATACACTGAATATTTCACCACGAAAAATTGTGGGACTGTCGTGAAAAAAAAATGGACGAAAACAATAACAACAACCCCCACTGTTTTTTGTTGGAGATCATGGATTATTCATGGTGATCTGCTGCCCTTCCGTTATGTTGAAAGGAAATAAGTTCTTTGAAGGTACACGCGCGCATCGTATACGCGCGCGTCGTATACGCGTCGTGTACAGCGGTTCGTGGTGATTTCCAATAGTTTCGTTGTTGATGCTGTTGTTGTTGCTGTTGATGTGCTGTTACTGTCGCTGTGGTTGTTGCTGTGGCGATTGCTGTGGCTATTACTGTCGCTAATGCCATAGCTATTGTTGCTGTTGCTGTTGCTGTTGCTGTTGCTGTTGCTGTTGCTGTTGCTGTTGCTGTTGCTGTTGCTATGGCTGTGGCTGTGATGGTGGGCCTGGCTGATTCCGTAACATCGGGGAGTACCACTCGCTCTTGAAACGTATTCCATCCAATTATATGCTCGATACCCCTGTAAAACGGCTGCCGGCAGTTTCTTAGAGCCGTGGCAAGACGATGTGTATACGCACCCCATCCACGACAACAGCACGTTGGCGCGGAAACAAAACGGGATCGCTCCTGTTCCAAGTTGAAAAAGAAAAACGAACGATGACGAAAACGACAGGTCATCGTGGGAACGAAACGCCCTGCTGTTCCATGTATCGAAAACTGAAAACGATCGAAGCTATGTACGTACCCACGGTGCCGGGAGAGCTGTGGACGCGGAATACCGTAGGTGAAATATGCCATCACACATCCTCGAGAGATTTTCAAAGCTCCATTTCTCCACAGCAGAAACAGTATCGTTGCCGAAAAATGGCGTTGGAGGGCATTCCGAAAACGCAGTACCGCTTGAGTTGAGCATCATATTCATGTTGGATTATTGCAGTCGAGCTTTGACAATCGGTCGAGGGTGTGTGGCATTTTAGGGATGTCACTTTCGGTAGCGGAGACAGACGATTTCGCGCGGTCAACCCTTGTCTCAAAAACAATTCGATGTAATAGCTATAGACGAGGCATATTTCTTAGCATACGCTCCCCCTCCCTTTCCCACTGCTCCATGAAAACTCTCGACCCCCGCTTTACCTCCGTCCTCTCGAGGACGCGTGGACAATGGTCTAACTGCTGCGGCATGCCCCCTACTATAGGTCGGCACGACGTCAGACGGCAGGCCGGTGCTTAAGACCAACGGGGACTACTCCCTTCAGTTCATCGCGGCAGGCTCCATGGACGACGAAGACTACCTCACTTACACGTATGCAGCTCGGGCGTCTCAGTCTTTGGGTGTGTTTATCACTAACGTTGACCGCGGTAACCGGCTGATCAACGAAAACACGTTAATCTCAATGCGGTTGAAAACAGAAAACGCTTCTAAAGCTCATGATCTGGGACCAGTGAGAGGTGGCATCATGGGGGAGGCTGCGTTGGGTGCGTTTCTTTTACGTGTTGCGTAGGAGTGTGTGTGATTTCCTTGACGTGATAGTTGGGA